TGGCCATCTCCTCTAGTGGTAATGTCAAACGTTCCATCAGCAAGACCCCTTTTCAGGAGGGTAGTGAGCAAGGGCTCTGTGAATCAGGAACAGAGCCCTTTCACAGCCCGTGCCAAGTCAGCCCAGAGCAAAGTCCCACGTACGCTGCGTGTCCTGTCACCTCAGTGAACTGAAAAAGTAAATGCCTGGGAAGGAAGCATGCCTGATTCGAGCCCCACGTCTCAGGGGCAGTACTTAAAATCATGATGGAGTGTTGGCAGAAATAATAACACTAACACTTTACATCTGATCAGAACCGAGCACCATCAGAAAGAGCCCAGCAAGACGCCTTGTGAATCAGGCAGGCATTGTCATACTCAAGAGACAGATAAGGAAGCAAGCTGGCAAGGTGACAGTGATGTGCTCACAGTGAACGTGAAAGTCGCGTCCGCCTCTTTGTGACCCTGTGGACTACACAGTCTGTGGGATTTTTCCAGGCCAGAATACTGGAGTGGGCAGCCTTTCCCTTCTCCAGGGATCTTCCCAACCCAGGGATCGAACCGGGGTCTCCTGCCTTGCAGGCGGATTCTTGACCAGCTGACTTGCCAGGGAGGCCCTAATGTGCTCAAGCTAGGTTTCTAACAAAGAGCAGGACTTCCCTCGTGATTCAGTAGCTAAGAATCCGCCTGTCAACGCAGGGGACACGGGTTCAATCCCTGGTCTAGGAAGATCCCACACGCTGCAGGGTGACCGAGCCCGCACTCCGCGATAAGAATCTGTGCAGTGAACGGGCAGCTCTGCTCAGCGCGGCTGGAGAACGCCTCAGCTTGGCAAGGAGACCCAGCGCGGCCCATAAATAAAAGGCTAAAAAAAAAATCACACAGCAAAGCAATGACGATGGTTTAAAAATAACGCAGATCTAATTTTTACATTTAGAGAGCTTTCCATGCCATCAAACTTTAAACAGAAGCACCTGGCTTCTGCCTATTTTATGCTCATATAGGCTAAGAAAGAGAAAACATTCCAGTCATGCTAAAATGCCAGGGACGGTGAAAATTCATGCAATTTATACACCACACAAATACTACCTTATAACTACAGATGGGGATTACTGCTACAAAAGCAGTCATCACGTTGTCTTCATGACTGCCTTGAGCCAGTGTTGTATAATTAACATGATATTACCCAAGGGCCAGAAGTGGACACAGTGAGTTATGCTACCCAGAGAGTCGGCATCAGCTCATTCAGGATACACAACAAAACCTGCTATTGTTTCTGTCTGTTCCAAGCACACAGCACGCGGGATCTTAGTTCCCAGACCAGGGATCAAACCCATGTCCCCTGCCCCCTGCAGTGGAAGCCCAGAGTCTTAACCCCTGAATTGTCAGGGAATTCCCCTAACACACACTTTGCTTTTTTAATTCTTTATTGAAGTATAGCTGAATCACAATGTTGTGGTGGTTACAGCAAAATGACTCAGTTGTGTGTAGAATGGATAAACAAGGTCCTACTAGACACTTTTAATGATGTGTGCGTAACCGCTCACGAGGCCTTTTGAAACTCCTCATCTCATCCTTGAGATAAGATGTAAACACCAGGTCAGGGCAGGAAGGTCCCTAAGTCAGCCTCCCTCATCTCATTAGATCTGAGATTTCTCACTGAATTCTTCCTCCATGCGAGCATTTTTCTAGGAGGTCTCCAGTTCCGAGGAATAAGAAACAATATCAGCCTCTCAAGTTCTGATCTCTTCCTCTGATGAGTCACAAGAAAGGTACTCTTCTGGCTTGCAAAGTGCCTTTCCAAGAAGCTCCAAGAGTTTTTTCCAAACATGTCATTATTTGTTTACATTCCGTACCCAGCAGAATCAGCCCTCTAAGTGCCATTTTACACGTGAAGAAACAAGCCCAGAATGGTTCGTGGAACTCGCCGAGGACACAGAGGGACTCCCAGGACCGGCGCTGGGCCCCGAGTCCACGGGTCCTGCTCTCTCGAGAGGGCAGGGCGGCACTGGTCCTGCTCCCTTCAGAGGGCCAGGCAGCTCTCGGACGGCTCAGGGGCGGCTCTGAGCCTGGCCACCTGGCCCGCGGCACCCCTGTCACGAGAGGGCACCGCATCTGGCACTTTCCTCCCGAAACTCAGAGCTCCGCTCGTTACTCAGAGCAGCAGTGTGCAGCCGGGGCAAACACCACATCCCGTCCTTCATCCTGGTCCCCAAGACTTGGCACGTGCCCAGCAAACGGAGCTCTGCAGGTGACGGCGAGCGGGACTTGCCGGCGGTCCAGCAGCCAAGGGGCCACGTTTCCACTGCAGGGAGCGCGGGTTCGGTCCCTGGTCAGAGAACTAAGGTCTTGCATGCCGCGTGGTATGGCCAAAGAAAAGAAAAAAGAGAGAAAGAAAATATACCTCTCAGGCAGGAATAGGGACTCAGTTGCGTTAGTCCCCAAATTCCACTCCTGCCTTCCTGATGACGAGTGTTCATCATCAGTCAGCGGGGCTGTGGAACCAGACCGACCAGGGCTCAAGTCCAAGTCACTGTCATTACCTGCTGTGTAACGATGGGCAGAGCACTCAACTTCTCAGCGCCTCAACTTTCTCATCTATAAAATGGGAATAATAATGTATGTGTCATATTGTGAGGATGAGATGAGAGATTCTATGTTAAGTGCTGAGCACACACTAAGCTCTCAATAAACATCAACTCTTCCTGCTGTTATGATGATGTAATATATTTTGCCAGATTGTGCCAGAAGCTCCATCGAACACCACTAAATATGCTCTTCAGTTGGTTTTTAGAGCAAATGCAATCCTCAGTTGATGACCACTGTTTTCTAGCATGGATGCAGGACTTTGAACTGAAGTTGGCTCATGTCTCTGGGACTGATCTCAGGATGATCGGGCTAGGTTAGCAACGGCTGCTCTTTGTTAAGCCCGTTCTTGGTTAAAAGTGTATTCGCTCAGTCGGGTCCGACTCCCTGCGACCCCACGGACTGTAGCCCGCCAGGCTCCTCTGTCCGTGGGATTCTCCAGGCAAGGATGCCGGAGGGGGTTGGCCCTTTCTCCGGGGGATCTTCCCGAGCCAGCGATCCAACCCAGGTCTCCTGCACTGCAGGTGGGTCCTTTACCAGCTGGGCCGCCCGAGAGGAGCAGAGATAACTGAAGGCGACGAAGTATCCAGTCACTCCCTGCACACAGCACGGCCGTGCTTTCCGTGGGGCTTGTGAGAATCCATCCCGCCTCTTCTGAGGTCTCAGCCAAACTGGTAACTAAAATCACTCAACTGTTTCAACTGGCAAAAACTTCCAGCCGTCTAGTTCAAGCCGGCCCCAGCATCGCTGTTTCCGAGTCAGGAAGACCGACGGAGAAATGAGGTGACCCGCCTGTGTTTTCCCTGCTGCAAGTCCAGCCTCGGAGTCCTGCCTCCGACCAGGCCACCTGCTGACCTCCGCAGCCGGGCAGCCGCAAACAGGCTGCCGCGAACCCAGCGGCGTGTCAAGGAGTGCTTCTCTGTCTTAACCTAACTTCCTACTCATTTTTTAAACCAGTTTACTTGTCCACTTTTGGCTGTGCCGGGTCCTCACTGCTCTCTGGCTTTCTCTCGCTGGGGCGGGCAGGACTGCTCTCCAGCTGCGTGTGCAGGCTTCGCACTTGCCGGCTTCGCTGGTTGTGGAGCCCGCTCTAGGGCTCGGGGCTCAGGGGTCAGGGTGTGGGCTCTAGGGCTTGGGGGTCAGGGGTCGGGGTGCGTGGGCTCCGGGGCTCAGGGGTCGGGGCGTGTGCTCTAGGGCTCGGGGCTCAGGGGTCGGGGTGCTGTGGGCTCGGGGCTCAGGGGTCGGGGCGTGGGCTCTAGGGCTTGGGGGTCAGGGGTCGGGGTGCGTGGGCTCCGGGGCTCAGGGGTCAGGGCGTGGGCTCTAAGGCTCCGGGCGCGTGGGCTCGGGGCTCAGGGGTCGGGGCACACGGGCTCAGGGCTCGGGGTGCGTGGGCTCGGGGCTCAGGGCTCGGGGGCTCAGGGGTCGGGGCACACGGGTTCAGGGTGCATGGGCTCGGGGCTCAGGGGTCGGGGCACACGGGCTCAGGGTGCGTGGGCTCGGGGCTCAGGGGTTGGGGCCGGGGCTCTAAGGCTCGGGGCGCATGGACTCGGGGTCTCAGGGGTCAGGGCGTGGGCTCTAGGGCTCCGGGCGCGTGGGCTCGGGGCTCAGGGGTTGGGGTGTGGGCTCTAGGGTTCGGGGGTCGGGGCGTTGGCTCCAGGGTTCGGGGCTCAGGGCTCCGGGCGCCTGGGCTCGGGGCTCAGGGGTTGGGGCTGGGGCTCTAAGGCTCGGGGCGCATGGACTCGGGGTCTCAGGAGTCAGGGCGCGCGGGATCCTCCCAGACCAGAGATCGAACCCCTGCCTCCTGCACGGGCGGGCAGACTCTCCACTGGGCCACCAGGGAAGCCCAGGGAGCACTTCCGTCACTGACGAGAGCCGGCCTGGGCCCTCTCTGCAAGAGCCTGAGAGTCATCTCTGCCAACACCCAGACCACTGCATCCCAACAAGATATTTAACGTTGCAAACCGAAACATCTTCCCTGAGGAAAAACAATGCACATAAAAATTAAGTACAAAAGATCATGACATAATAACTAAAATATTGTTCAAAATACGATTCCTGGGTTTCCCAGGCGGCACAGTGGGAAACAATCCACCTGCTAGTGGAGGAGATGCAAGAGATGCAGGTTCGATCCCTGGGTCAGGAAGATCCCCTGGCTAGGAAATGGAAGCACGCTCCAGAATTCTCGCTGGGAAATCCGGTGGATCGAGAAGCTGGCAGGCTCTTGTCCACAGGGCTGCAGAGTCAGACACGACTGAGTGCACAAGCGCGCGCACCCACAAACCCCCGCTCCTCACCGGAATATAAAAAATACAAGCCGGGCGGCGTGCAGACGGAGGCAGAGATTCGCGTGAGAGAGGCGCGCGCAGGGCGGGGCAGGGACACCCTCCGTGAAGGTCACCTGGAGGCCTCGAGGGGCCACAGGAGTCCAGGCCGCACCTGCGAGCTTCCAAGGCGGCAGGTCCGGGGGTCAGCGCGGGGGCGGCCTCTCTGCCGAAGGCCCCTGGCGCGGATGCGGCTTTAGGGGGCACCTCCGTGAACCGCTGGGTTGGCGGGGAACAGAATCAACACGGGGCTGGGCATAAGGGGAAAGGGTGATGGGGGCGGGGACGGGGTGGGGCCAGAGGGGGACATACTTTCGGGGCGTCTCCAGGCCCGGGGTGCCTTCCCCGGGGAGTCGCACCTGTCAACACCTTGACGCTGAGCTCACGCGGGCGGCCTCTCCGCCGCCGAGCTGCAGGGCCCCCTCCCTTTAAACGGCTCCCCACCCGCTCGCCGATGCCCACTCCTGTTTGAGGAGCAGGGTCTTCCACCCAATAAGAAGGTGCGCGGGTTTCTTTCTTTCTTAAAGATAGGTCTTCGGCTGAGAAACAGGCAACAAGCTCACGTTACATGTACCAGCTGAGCGGCAAGTGTGAGAGCTGTGAGCCCGTCCCCGAGTGGACGGAGAGGACGGCTAAGAAGGAAGGCGCGCGATGCTTTTCTTTGGTCTCGCTGCACCGCTTCTGGGATCGCAGGTCTCCCACCAGAGATCAGACCCAGGTCCACGGCGCAGAAAGGGTGAAGTCCTAACCACTGCCCCGCCAGGGATCCCCGCAGACAGGTGACTGAGGGAAGAGGAGGAAAGGGCTGGTCCGCTAGGGAGAAGGGCACAAGCGGGGCTCAGACTCCGGCTTCTCCCTCCTGCCGGGGGTGGATCCGCGGAAGTCAGATGCCCTGTTGGCGCCGGGGGCCGTGTGAGGCCACCAGAACCCTACTGTGTGTGGTTCCCGTCCAGTAGCCTGACTTAGACAGAGGGGGACCACAGAGGACGAGATGGCTGGATGGCATCACCGACGCGATGGACATGAGTCTCAGTAAACTCCCGGAGACCGTGATGGACAGGGAGGCCTGGCCTGCTGCAGTCCATGGGGTCGCAGAGAATCGGACCCCGCTGAGCCACTGGACTGAACTGAACGTGACCCAGAGGAAAGCTCTAACCAACTTAGGACCTCAGTTTCCTAATCCGGAAAAGGAGGAAGCCGATCAGATTTATCTCTAAACTTCCTTTTGACTCTTAACTTCTCTGGTTTTTTTTTTTAATGGACATTCTGAAGAGCCTCCAGGGTAAATCCCCACTCACCAGATCAAAATAGAACAGGCCGTTTGGGGCACATTTTGTACTGAAAAGATCTGCCACAAACCACAAGGCTGAGGAGCACAAAACAGCAAATTTCACTTCCTTCCAGCTTCCAAGTGAGGATGAACGTATCAGAGCGGATCCTGTGCTAAGCAGGCTGCCCAAACCCCGACTAGGGTTACTGGCGTCTATTTTCAGCTCCCAGGACAGACACAGAAGCTGCCCAAGGGGTACAGGTTTTGTGTGTGTGTGTGTGTGGGGGGGGTCTACAACAGGGAACAAATAAAGCAGAGGATTCCTCAGAAATATTCCAAGAGCCCTCCAAAGTGGTGTCAGGCACATCTGTGGTTATGGTGGAGGCAGCTTTCAGCTGAGGGGCTTGTGAAAGATTTCTCAATCAATGTACATTTATGGAGCTCCAACTGCATACCAGGCATAGCTTAAACAACGGCTTGGCGTGGACTAGTTTCTGTAACTTAAACAGATGTTGCTTCTTCAAATGAAAATGTTGTATCCTATGTGCTTAGGACACACACACACACCAGTCACAGTCTCCATAATTCTCCCAATCCAGTTAAAACTGAATCTACCCAACAAGGTTTTCCTTTTCATCTGTTTCCTCTGTTTTAGCAAATGCATCACCTTCCTTTCTGCCTCTCTCTCTAGATTTATGGTCTTCCTTCTTCAGGATCTGTTGAAGTCTAGCTCAACTCAGTCTTTTTCTGTAATGTCTTCTCTCCACCACTAGATGTGACCTGCTTTCCTTGACGCCTCTCTGACATATTTTCCAGGATGCTCAGGTCTACCCATACACTGTTTTCTATTACTTTACTCTTACTTGCATGACTTCTGTCTCTCCAACTACAGCACAAATTGAACGAGGAAAAAACTGTCTCCTTCCGTCACATTTCCCAAAGTGTCTAGGACAAGGCTAACAGTAAGCGATGCTCAGAACACAAGCTGGGGTTTCATCTTTGCTTGTCATGCGGAAAAGGTGACAACGCACAGACACGAAGAAGGGGAAAACGGCCATAAACAAATAAGTAATACAGCCCTCCTTTAAAACATTTATATTATATATAGACAGAATACTGGTAATTCCATGTGCAGTGATGTAAACACACACACACACACACACACACACACACACACACACACGCTTCCCTGGTAGTTCAGTTGGTAAAGAATCCGCCCACAATGCAGAGACCTGGGTTCAATCCCTGGGTTGAGAAGATCCCCTGGAGAAGGGAAAGGCCACCCACTCCACTATTCTGGCCTGGAGAATTCCATGACTGTATATAGTCCATGGGGTCGCAAAGAGTCGGACACGATGACTTTCACTTTCACACACACAATTAGACAAAAAAAGGTCAGAAGAAAGCTGCTGAGAAACATTCAATGGGAGGGAGTTAACTGTTCCTGGGCTTCCCAAGTGGCTCAGTGGTAGAGAATCTGCCTGCCAATGCAGGAGATGCAGGAGACTTGGGCTTGATCCCCGGGTCGGGAAGATCCCCTGGAGGAGGAAGTGGCTTCCCACTCCAGTGTTTTTGCCCGGGACTGCCTTTCTCGACACAGTGACCCTTGCAGGTACTCGACACCTACAGCTAAATTTTCAGGCTACTTGTGTACCACTCTGGCTGCAGAACACACTTGGTGTATGTTACCTCTGGTGCATACAACCTCATGTACCTAGACCCACACTTACCTGGGTTTCAGCTCACTCAGACTCTTTGCAGGTCAGAGAGAAGCAGGTGGAAGCGCAGCAGACCATCATCTGTGGTCGAGAAGGGACCACGCTGCCCCTGAGACCGGCTCGTGGCACTGACTTGAGCATACGCGGTTTTCCACGTGTCTGAGTCCCAACATGGTTCTCCATAATAATAATGCCATGTGCCGAGCACATCATGGCTTATCAGTGATTTCCATGCTCTTCATCTTATTTGATTTTGCAAATAGCCATGGGAGGTGGCTGGGGGCGAGGTGATGAATCCCTCCCTATCTGTAGACGAGAAGAAGGTTCACTCTGGTGGCTGGAACTGGCCACTAAGAGTTTCCAAGCGGCAAAGCCACATATCACATCTAGACCTTACAATAACTCACCTACCAAGACACCACACTTGTAGAGAGTATCTAACCTCATCTGTTAGTAAGAATATTCCTGCATGACTGTAGCTGGTTATATCTGTGGTTGTATCTGTAGTGTTATTGCATACTTACGTTTTTATTTTCTTTTTTTAAATGACAAACTCAGGAGTAATTTATTAGAAATGCCAATAAATACATAAGTCATGAACTAAAACAAAACTGAGAAAACAAAGCTACACCCATTACAAAAGAGATAAAACATGAAAACAAGACACCTCACACCATATTATAGTAAGTGAGAAGAGCTGGTCTAAACATCCAGACTTTTAGGAAAACACAAATTATGAAACTTGTCATAAGGAAGAAGAGAAGGAAGTTACAACAATCCTTTACTTTTGTCCTCTAATTTCTTACATATATATAGTTAAATCAAGCTTTATTGGTATCCAAGTTAGTTCTTGTCTTAAACTATTCTATACTGGAGTTTGGCCGACTAAGAATCGTGTGGCAGTCTCAGGCGGGCAGCAGACACACCCATGTACCCCTTCTCCCCCGAACGCCCTCCCATCCCGGCTGCCACCCAGCGCCGGGCAGAGGCCCCTGCCTCTTCAGGGGGAGCTGCTGGCTCCCCGCCCGAAACACAGCGGGGTCCATCCCAAACCCCTCCCTAGCCCTCCTCCCACCCTCCCGCACACACATGTTCATGCTTCTCAAGGGTCCTCCATCACTTTGTGAGTACCCCAGAGACTCCGTCTTCTCTCCAACTCCGTGTTTCGCTCTGGTGGATGAGCAGGTATTTAAACTCCACTGATGACTATATAGAGAATCTGAAACCTTACCAAACTCTATTTAGAGCCCCAGATACTAACATGGCTCCGAACACCTGTGGCTGCTTGTGAACTACAGCGCTCATCACACAGAGACAGTGTCTTCTAAAGATAGCCGGGTGCCTAAAGATCGTGCCAGCTCTCAGCCACATTCTCCTGACACCTGTCACTTGAACCGCAGTGGCATTTCCACAGCTAAAAAGTCACACTGCTAATTAGGCGACCAGAGGCAAGGGAACGAAGCTCAGAGTGGACTCTGAACATCATTAAGATTCCAGAAGGTCTTTGAAAGGCCTTTCCTAGTTTAAACTCACTCTGCTACTGCACCTGTGTCTAGCGTCTTTCCATCCCAACGTTTGTTTACTGTGTGCGTGAGGCTAGGAAGTGAAGCCAACAGAACAAACTCTCGTTCTAGGTCCAGTTCAGTTCATTCGCTCAGTCGTGTCCGACTCTTTGCGACCCCATGAACCACAGCACACCAGGCCTCCCTGTCCATCACCAACTCCCTGAGTCCACCCAAACTCATGTCCATCGAGTCGGTGATGCCATCCAACCATCTCATCCTCTGTCGTCCCCTTCTCCTCCTGCCCTCAATCCCTCCCAGAATCAGGGTCTTTTCAAATGAGTCAGTTCTTCACATCAGGTGGCCAGAGTACTGGAGTTTCAGCTTCAGTGTCACTCCTTCTAATGAACACCCAGGACTGATCTCTTTCAGGATGGACTAGTTGGATCTCCTTGCAGTCCAAGGGACTCTCAAGAGTCTTCTCCAACACCTAACACCACAGTTCAAAACATCAATTCTTTGGCACTCAGCTTTCTTTACAGTCCAACTCTCACATCCATACATGACCACTGGTAAAGCCATAACCTTGACGAGACAGACCTTTGTTGACAAAATAATGTCTCTGCTTTTTACTATGCTGTCTAGGTTGGTCATAACTTCCCTTCCAAGGAGTAAGCATCTTTTAATTTCGTTCTAGGTACCAAGAAGCAAATGATACCTGCGCTCTTTGAATTAGTGGGTTTTATGTTTGTTTATTTTGGCCAGGGGGAAGGTGGGATCTCAGTTCCCCAAGTCAGGATCACAGCCGAGCCTCCCTGCGTTGGAAGCACAGGGTCTTAACCACTGGACCACCAGCGAGTCCCAACTGAAGGCATGTGTTTAAGCCCAGAGTCTGTTCTGAAGGGGCTCATTTACATCACAGTGTCTGTCCTGTGAGTGTCTGAGACATTAAATTATTTCATTTGGTCCTTGAAAAAACACACAATGTCCTGCAAACCAGGCCCCGTTCATCAGACTTGCAACTTTCTCACTGATTACATAATGATGGGATAAATAAGCAATATGATTAGACTGCTATTTGATTCAACAGCCACTCAGGTTTTCAGATTCCTTGCTTTCAGGGAGGAGTCGCAGGCAGAAAGTGGAACCAGCCCAGAATAAGAGGGGTTCCGACTAAACAATTAAATATGCATTTTGTTTTAATTTATGATTTATTTTGGTTGTGCTGGGTCTTCATTGGGCTCACAAGCTTCTCTGGTGGTGGTGAGTGTGCTCAGAAGCAGTATCTGAGATCTGAATTCCCCCCCAGAGATGGAAGCTGGGCCCCTTGCATTGGGAGCACACAGTCTTACCCATGACTCACCAGGGAAATCCCTAAATATGCATTTTAATAAAGAGATCTAATATAAACCAAATAATAGGGGTTTGTGTTAGTTTAATAAAAGAAAAAGAATCATCTGGATAAAATTAATACAAGAGTTGGTGAACATAAGCTATTGAACAAGTAAGATTAAACAACGCATCTGAGTTCAGAGCCACACAATACTCCACAGTCTTTCTTGGACTATCATGATTGTGTCCAAAACTCTTCTCCACAACAAAGAATCCTGTTTCCTCTAGTCTTTTTCCTATTTTCTATTTTTTAACTTGCTGCAATGACCACGCTACCTAGTTTCATAAATCTTCTCTGAGCTTTTAATACAAAGAAAGGATAAGCCCCTACCCAAACCAAACTCAACCAGTGAAACTTTCCACAGGGAATCATGTTTAGTCGCTAAGTCGTGTCCAACTCTTTTGCAGCCCTATGGACTGAAGCCCACGAGGCTCCTCTGTCCATGAGATTGTCCAGGCAAGAATACTAGAACGGGTTGCTCCCCCCCGGCCCGGGGACCAAACCCGAGTCTCTTGCATTGGCAGAGCCACCTGGAAAGCCCTGAAGACTCGTGTCCCGGCGACTGAAGTCCAGGCGTCACACTGGCAGTGTGGCTATCAGAACCGAGAAGGAATTCCACTTGTCTTTGTAACGTACCACTACACTTGAGCCTTACAGTAGATCACCGAACTTTTATTTAATATGATGCTTATTCTGCCATTTGCTGAAAATATGAGTTGAAGGTCAGGAGGTGACCAAAAGAACGGTGAACATCCTGGGCTAAGGGTAAGGAGTGAAAACTCAAAGCCAGATAACAAAGTGCTGTTTGCACTGAGGATATGCACGTTTTGTACGTGTTCTATAGTCTTACTTTATATCCCATGGTACTTCCAAACTTCATAGTTGATTCCAGAATCGGCATCGATCCCTCCGATCCCTCTCTTGACTCTAGTTCAGGGGGCCCCGTGAGGACAGGGGTGTCCACCCACTGCATTCCCAGCTGCACTGTCAGAGCCTAGCGCCCCAGCTGGGTCTCCACCCAACCCAGCATACACAGAACAGGCCGGACACAGGCCACTTCACAGCTCCCCCTTTCTCTCTCCCACCCTGCACACGCCCACCCCTCAGCACACACGCTCTCTCGTCACCTTCCCTGCCAAACCAGCTCCTCCTCGAGAACGCCCAACCTCTAGGAATGACTCCCTGCCTATTCCAGCCACCCAGGCAGTGTCTTCAGCCGTCCTGGACTGAGTCCCGTTTCTTTAACCATGGTTTCCCGCTGCCCGGAATCCGTCTTCCGCCCTCCCACTCCCACAAAACCTGCTCATCTGCCCTCTCGTCCCACGAAGCCACTGCCTCCTTTTCTAGTCATGGGGAGTTCTTCTTTTTAAAACTGTTGCTTTAATTTCCCAGGGTTCTTCACAATATTTTGTTCAATTATCCTCCATTTATTCATGGAGTCCTATTCTACTTCTCTACCTAAAAAGTTGTCTCCTTGGTGCAAGAATTGTGCTGTTTATTTCTTGATATCTTTTCCAATGAAAGCAAAAGCTGGCCCCACAAGCTCTCAATAAATATTTGTAGGCTGATTAACTAAAGATAAAATCAATCAGCTGGCATGTGTATAAGAAATTTTTCTGGGAGGAAAAGATTTTAAAAAGGGTATATCTAGGTTCTTCTGAAACATGCAGAAGAAATCTGTATTTTATATATATACATAAGAATATAATCTTTTTTTTAAATTGAGGCATACCTCATTTAACAGTGCTGCATTAGTTTCTGGTATATTACAAAGTGATTCACTTATGCATATATATACCTGTTCTTTTTCACATTCTTTTCCATTATGGTTTATTACAAAAGATTGAATATAATTCCCTGTGCTATAGAGCAGGACCTTGTTTAATTTATACATAGTAGTCTCTGCTAATCCAAAACTGCTAATTTATCCCTCCCCTATCCTATAATTTTAACTAATCCATAATAAAATGTTAACTGTGCTTTTTAAAAAGTCCATGCACTGCCTTAAGTCTTTTTTAAACTCATTTATTAGCTGCAAGGACTATGACAGACCTTCTGTTTTGTGTGCTGCCGTGTGAAAAAAAGACAGTTCTGTGGCTAGAAGATCAGACCCTTATTCTTGAAAGTCCAAACAGAAGGATCCGCTTTCGGTGTTGCTGTCATTACCCACAAGAGCCCTGGTGGGAGAAGAGCGGCCCCCCCGCTGCCCGCGGCTCAGACCGGGGCTGCGCGCCCCTCTGACGGCCTTGCCTGGGTGCCATGCGCTTCCAATGCCACT